TCTCTCTCTCTCTCTCTCTCTCTCTCTCTCTCTCTCTCTCTATTTCTTTGTTTCTTTCCCTCGCGTCTTTCGCGCCTTCTACCTGCACATCGTTTCCCCGTACCACTCTCATTATTTAAATTTTTCCTTGTCTGTTTTTTTTTCTCCCTTTTTCACCGTCGGTTGTTCGGTAGGGTCTATCGTTCCCACCGACCCCCCATGTTAACCTGCACGTGCTTATTTTCCAAGCAGGGAAACTTACTGGTGGTTTAAAATCAATCCTTCACATTTAAAAATTATAATTTCAAACTTCTTCTAATTATGAAATTTACAGTTTCATTTGACGAAACAAAACCTAAGGAATATGTTGTTTTGTTGTCCTACGATGTATAGGGATGAATTTGTTATTTCTTCTAAAAATTGAACTCTATCATTTACGAAGCGCGAAATAGAGATTCTGAAAGAATATGGCGATGAGTATCGTAAAAAGAGGTTTAACTCTAAAATAATTTTGGTGAAGGTTATGTTATCCCTAAGCCTAAGGGAATATGTTTCAAGGCAAAAATAATGACAGGAAGGGTGGGTGGGGTCTTCATAGGGGTTCATCTTGACAGTCCTTGAGTGATTACTGTTGGTGAATGCCATCTATCTAGTATCCCACCTTTGCAAACCTATGGGGGAAAAAATGAAAAAAATGATATATCAAAATAACGGCTCGTTTACCCTAATTTTTTGAACGGTTACCTTCATTGATTGTCTCCAACCGACTTACTGTAGCACTCAACTGTTTGATTATGAAAAATGCTAGTGACAATGCATTTCACCTCCCTAGTACAAATATGATAATTAATGAGGTGATCTTTCAAGGTAGGAAAAACCTCTTCACACATTAATTCATACAAATAAGATGTCATTCCTTTTGAGATAAGATAATCATGATATATCATTTGATAAGTCTCTCGTAGTTCATCACCATGCCCAGAAAGAACCACCTCGATGTTATGGGCCGTGTTGCAAAAAATATATAATTCCTTGAATTAAATAATAACTATTAATAAGTTATTATAACTCTATAATTAATTTACATTCTACAATGTAAAATACTATTTTATCTTAATAAAGTCATTCCATTTCCAAAATGTTTCATCTCACTTAAAAACTTCCCTTCCAAGGATAAGGTATCTCTTCTTATTTGAACTGCATGCTCGAGATGGAATGAAAGTCAGGATGAGTTCATGAATATTTTAATTGGACTATCATTCTATTATAAGAAGTTTGAATCATAAATAGGTTAATCCAATTTGTTGTAGTAGAATGAAAGTTTAATTAAGACATTTCATAAAATCGCTCAGACTTTCATTCCATCTTCAACAAATAGAATTATTTGGAAGGGAAACTCATTCGGTGATCAACTACGATAAACTTGCCAAATGGTACACCACGATTGTCTCATCTCATAAGAAAGGGCGTCTTATTTGTGTGAATTGATCTGTGAAGAGATCTTTCATACCCTGAAAGATCACCTCATCAGTTATCATATCCGTCCTACGGAGGTGATGTGCATTGTCACTAACATGTTTTTCAGAAGCAAAGAGTTGAGTGTTGTCGTAAGTCGTCTGGAGGCAATCAATGAAGGTTTAGTAAAAGTAGGGCAAACGAGCCGCCATTTTAATGTCCTTTTTTTTTTCTTTTTTTTTCCTAGGTTGTTGTAGAGGTGGGATACTAGATAGATGACAGTCACCCATAGTAATTGGTCATTCGATTGTCTAGATAAACCTGTATGAAGACCCCACCCACCCTTCCTCTCATCCTTTTCGCCCTGGCGCATATGTCCTTGTGCTTAGGGATAGCATAACCTTGACCAAAATCCCCTTTCACATCCAAAGGTGCACGAGAATTAAACCGGGGCCCTTTTTACCATACTCATCGCTATATTCTTTCAGAAAATCTGTTTTGCGATTTGTAAATGATTGAGACCATATTTTTTTAGAAATAGCAGATCAATTCTTATACATCGTAGGACAACATAATAGCATATCCCCGACGTTTTGGTCCACGGGAGGTAGAACCAGTGTTTTCAACAGATTCTTCCAGACAAGAATATTTACAGATATGAACGGTAGAGAACGTAGATTCTCAAGTCTGGCAGAGGGTATCCCTATGGGGGGGCAAGCTAGCCTGCCCCTTGCTTGCCTGGTCTGCATGTATGCAGAGAACCAACTTCTGAGGAGCCTGGAAAAAAACGCTAAACTACTTTTCGGCAAGCAATATGTTGACGACCTATTGCTTATTAGGTTCTATAAACACAATATGATAGAAGCTACAACTATTATGGGAAGGATCAGCACGTGTTGTCACAAAGAATTGCGATTGGAACGGACAAACCACGTAACAAACGTCCTCGAATTTCTGGAAACCAAGTTGTTCGTGCTTGAGGGTCCAATTGAGATTATTATGATGCACAAATTCAAAAACGCGGAGAGTATATGGGCAGACTCAAAAAAACCCAGATACATGATTACTAGATTTTTTTTGTCTTTCGGGCCTAAGGAACAAAAAATCGCAAACTTAATGGGAACTATTTATCGGATTAATTCCAATACTAACTGCGATCCACTACTACCCCTTTCTGTGATCACCTCTCATCGAGAACAAAAAGGTGCAGGATTCCCCAATTGGATTATTTTTTCTGCCCTAGACAAGGTCTCGAAAAAACTAAAGGGGGTCTCCATTGAAATGGTGCTGAAACTCTCTCAATGTTACGATGCCTGGACCTAGGGCGTAGACTTTTTTTATAGGTATTTCTTCCATTTCTAGTTTGTCTTATTCCGATACGAAGAACGACGGTTTCTCACGTATATCGTCCCCTGTGAACGATGATGCAGGTTCATAGTACGACGGGACCGACCTGCAGGTTTTCACGCAGGTGCCTTTTATATATAATAATATGAAGATAATTTTGGTGCTCCTCCGGACCAGGTACAACTAGTAGTACCTGTTCGATACTTCTGTCTGAGTACTCCAGTCTTTGACTGAGAAGTATTTGGTCAGTTTTTCCGACGAAGCAACGTACCCGAGAAATATGACGCTACATCAACAAAATTGGAAGGACGCAAGCAGTGCGATATCTGACGGATCTGGTTTTGTGGAGGATCATGGCAACAATTGATGGCACGAATGAGTGTCGGAGGGTTGCCTACACGTTTTTTCTCACTACGATGCTTCCCGTGACTTTTTCTGCTTCTTTTTTCCTTGAAGTTCTTTGGAGATTACTATTGTTTTCTTTCACTCTTTTGCGGTTTATTAATTTGGGGAATTTTTACCGGCCCTCTTCTCGTTCTTACGGGACGATGAGACCAGTACAAGGGGATAAATAGAAAGGAAGAGTGTGCGCTCTTCAGGAGACTGAGCAGTATTGAGGTAGAAGGTCTGCAGTATGGTTGAATCCATACCTCGTATGGAGAAACTATGCTGGACAATGTAGTATACTGTGAGATGTAATCCTCAACTACATTGTTACTTTTTTTTTCTTCATGTCTATTGATGAGCTTGGTGAACGACCTTTGTGATTGCGCGTGGAAACGCTCACCCGGCGCCGTGCATACTATTAAGGGATCTACCACGATTTTTCATCTACCATGTCTACGGGTAACAGGTGCACGTGTGCACTGCCCCGCAATATGCGATTAGGACTGCATGTAGAACTCGTACTGCATGTGCATTCTTTTTCACTTCATATCATTCTTTCATTTTTCCTAGCTTTCCCAAGTAGTTTTTTCGATCGATATTAATCGAAAGATTGTTAGGGCCGCTATACTTCTCTACTCCTTCTCTCCCTGTGTTTGTTCTGCAGGTTTCACGAACTTGAAGTTTCCAAGTTAAGGTGAACATCTTCTCGTCTGTATGTACGCCCGAGGAAGGGGTAGGGGACGTGGCAAGGGTGGTTGGTCAGGGTACCGTCGGTATTGGATGGACTACCAGGCGGTCACACCACCTGCAACTGTACCAGCCATTGGGCATCAGAATGCTCCACCACCGATGACTCACCCCCCACACCCACACCCTCCTCCACCTCAGGCAGGATACGTGTATCCGCAATATGGCTGGGTACCGGCCTTGGCACCTCCGCCACCTCAGGCAGGATACGTGTATCTGCAATATGGCTGGGTACCAGCCTCGGCACCTCCGCCACCTCCAGCTCCTCCTCGGCCACCGGCTCCGAATTGGAATTACAGCCAGCCGAGCTACCATCAGAAGACACCTGTTGCTAACTCGTTTCCCGCATCAGGGAATCGGGCTTGGTTTACACGCGAACATCTCGAATTAATCGAGAAATGGAAGACGAAGGAGCTCGAAGAATCCAAGAAACCCACAGAAGACTCCTGCGAGAGTAGTAAGCAAGGCGCAACGAAGAAGGGACGAGGGAAAGCCACATCAAAGTCCGAAGACGGGGAGCAGAACTTGAAAACTTGGATGGTAGAGAATTTTGGGAGCTCTTTGACGAAAATCGCTGAGAAGCTTGAGGTTGTCGACAAGAAATCCAAGGAAGCTGAGGTGGAGCGAGTGAAACTCGTCAAAATGGTGCAAGAGATCGAAGGGAAGGGTGCTACAGATGGTGGGAATAGTAATGAGAAGAGGAAACAGGTGGTGGGAGTGAACTCACCAACCATAGAGTGGCAGAAGTTGAGATCGAGATCTCGGAGTGGTGGTGTAAAGATTAGACAGCCGCGCATCGATGTCTCATCCGACAATGAGAAAGCTGATCCGGCGAGCACTACAACCAACAGTAATCCAGGCAACGTAAAACAGGAGGACGTTATGAAGATGTTGTCGGTAATCACGGGCAAGGTGCAATGTGAGAATGCAAACTCGGGGACGGGCGCCGCCGACACACACACTAAGAAAGGGAGCACCGTCGTGAATATAGTCGAGGAAGACAACAGCACCGAATCCGAGGACGAGATGGACAAATTGAAGCTTAACCGAGGGAGTTGCGCAAAGAGCGATAGGACTGAGGCAGGGATCATCGAGTACATGAGACAGAGGCTCGATCACTATATGGACATGAATGGGACGAAGATCAAGATCCTCTGCCTCAAGAGAAATGTGAAATGGGAGAGGAAGGATAAGAGCGCTTGGGAACTAGCGAAACAAGACACTGGCGAGTTTTCAAAGTTGGTGCATGGCGACAACGAACAAGAAACTGAACCAGATCCGGAAGAAGAAGAAGAAGACAATTGCTCCGATGGAGATGCCGACGACGACGACCTCGTTGGCAACTAGATCGACAAGCGCAGCCTGCTGCGCATCCTCAGAGTGATTAGTGATAGGATTCCAACTCTCCAGGGCACGTGCGGCTACTTTTTGAAGATGCTTTCACACTTGGGACGATTTTCGCGTGCTGTTCTAACTTCTTAAGATGGGGAAATACGTATCTGAAATATTGGAATCAGTCTAATTGCACTAACTTTCTTGATCTTCGTAACTGCAAATCTTGTGTTTACATCTTACTGTCACCTTTCAGTCGACAAGTATACGTGGGTTAGACCTGCCGAACTCTTCACAGTACGTGGCAAGAACATGTCCGATTTACTGAAGATCCTATATTTAAGGTACATAAGTGGTTAAAAAAGCAAGGTGTGCATCATTATACTGCGATTCCTGTTCAAACATGTGCTAGAGATGATCTCAAGAAGATAAAATCGAAGATCATTAAGGATGAGAACCCGGGTGTGAACTGCCGAAGGGTTGAGCATAGGGCGCGCCCTCATAGATCGAGAAGGCAAAGGAACAAGTCTCAAGTGCTAACTGAATCGGCCCCGATTTCCTTTTCGAGTAATCTCGATTCTGATGTCTCTTTTGACCTGCTGAAGTTACTCAACCAATGTGTCGGGAGATCCCGCCCTACGAAAATTCGTAGTCTTGGCAGTTATCAATGGGTTACCTCTTGGAGACTAATTAAGCTGGTTTTCGCGGAATCCAAATTTAAGAACGATGATGGAAGTTTTTTGTTAAAGGATATGAAAATTGACCTCGAGCACGGTGGGACTTGGGAGTTAACTTGCCTAGTTAAAACGAAATCGGAATCTGATAGGCGTAAAGCAGAGCTAATAGCCCTACTATGGGCTCCGTGGAAGAGAAAAAGTATCATGAGTAACAAATGCGTTGAGGATCTGTTTGTCATGTTGAAATGTTTGAAATGCATCAACACTAAGCATGGGCGAAAGATTGTACGCGGGCTCATATCCACTGAGCTTAAGAAAAGGCTGGGGTTTAAACCCCGACAGCGCATCGGTATAAAGTTACCTTTTAGTCCTACTATTGATAAAAAAAGTGGTCAGGACTGCGGCGTGCGAATGGATAAAGGACAAGATTTGTTCTCCACGTTTGTCTTATCTGATGCAGAGTAAGCTGCAGTCCGTATGGACTAAAGTTAAGTCTGTTGTTGACTTACTGCATAATTATAAGGGATACGCCTCCAGCATTGACGCCGAATGTGTATGTCACAGGTTTCAACTGCCCAAAGAAGATGGACATGTTCGGGTTAGACTGAATGATATCCTTGGAATCAACCCCTTCGTTCATAATTCCAGAAACACTCCTCTGCCTGGACGTATTGTGGATATACACGAGATCAATAAGAACTGCCAAATTGCCCTATGTTTGTTAGAAAAAGTTGGACCAGGTGTTGAAGATGTTTTCAGGTTCTCCCTACTTCGTCTCACCAGAACTACGTCGGCCCCCGCTGACGCCGTCCTGAGTGAATATGTTCTGGGTTTGAAAGGTGCTTTTGATGGTTTGGTTTTGTCACCCCTGGACCGAAATCCTGAGGCGAGACTCGTTGAATGTCCTATCCTGTACCAGTCTGGGATGAGATCAACATTCAACGAGAATGCCGGTTTTTAACTCGTCAAAGCATCAGAATGTGAGGTTCTAAAAGCCATAAGAATGAAGTTTAAAGGAATGAAGCTGGGTAGAATTGCAAACAGGGATAGGAAGGGAAAATTGCAAAATGCCTTTATTATGAATAAAGATAAAGACTTGAATAAGAAGAGACCAATCTGTCCATCTTATTTGAGCCCTGTGCAACACGCGAGCAGGTTACTTGTTAAAGCCCTGAATTTTCGCATCAGGAATACAAAGAACTCCCACTTCAATCTAATGGCCGAAAATGAATTAAAAAATAACCTACTAATGGTAAACGATAAAGCTCAGAGGGAAGGCCTAAAAATCATAACACAGACCTACGACATAAAAGAGATGTTCTCTAAAATACCTCATAAAGAGGTCCGCAAGCATGTGCACTGGATTTTTTCTGAAATTAAAGACGAAGGGAAATACTGGGTACGGGTCAAGGTAAGAGGAAAATGTGCAACCATTGGAAAATCGTCCGGCCGCCAGGGAAGGGGGCTGGAAGTCACTTCGTCTTTGCAATCTTGAAAAACTCGTCGATTTTGTTTTGAACCACGGGTTTTTTAAGTCGTGCGGCCAGATTCTCAGACAACGTAAGGGTATCCCTATGGGGGGGCAAGCTAGCCCGCCCCTTGCTTGCCTGGTCCGCATGTATGCAGAGAACCAACTTCTGAGGAGCCTGGGAAAAGACGCTAAGCTACTTTTCGGCAAGCGATATGTTGACGACCTATTGCTTATTGGGTTTTATAAACACAATATGATAGAAGCTACAACTACTATGAGAAGGATCAACATGTTTTATCACGAAGAATTACGATTGGAACGGACATACCACGAAACAAACGAACTCGAAATTCTGGAAACCAAGTTGTTCGTGCATGAGCGTCCAACTGAGATTATTATGATGCACAAATTCCAAAACGCGGAGAGTATATGGGCAGACCAAAAAAACCCAGATACATGATTACTAGGTATTTTTTGTTTTTCGGGCCTAAGAAACAAAAGATCGCAAACTTAATGGGAACCATTTATCGGATTAATTCCAATACTAACTGAGATGCACTCCTACCCCTTTCTGTGATCACCTTTCATCGAGAACAGAAAGGGGCAGGATTCCCTAGTTGAATGATTTTTTCCGCCCTAGACAAGGTCTCGAAAAAACGAAAGGGGGTCTGGATTGAAATGGTGCAGAAACTTTCTCAATGTTACGATGACTGGGCCTACGGCGTAGACTTTTTTGACAGATATTTCTTCCCTTTCTGGTTTGTCTTATTCCGATACGAAGAACGGCGATTTCTCACGTATATCGTCCCCTGTGAACGATGATCTAGGTTCATAGTACCATGAGACCGACCTGCAGGCTTTCACGCAGGTGCCTTTTATATATAATAATATGAAGATAATTTTGGTGCTCCTCCGGACCAGGTACAGCTAGTAGTACCTGTTCGATACTTCTGTCTGAGTACTCCAGTCTTTGACTGCGAAGTATTTGGTCAGTTTTTTCGACGAAGCAACGTACCCGAGGAATGTGACGCTACATCAGCAAAATTGGAAGGACGCAAGCAGTGCGATATCTGACGGATCTGGTTTTGTGGAGGATCAGGGCAGCGATTGATGGCATGAATGAGTGTCGGGGGGCTGCCTACACGTTTTTCCTCACTACGATGCTTCCCGTGACTTTTTCTGCTTCTTTTTCCCTTTTTTTTTTTTTTTGTAAAATAACATCTATGTAGGGGAGTAGAGGACGTGTTGGTAAGAGCAGACACCTCCTCTACTCCCCTAGATGGTTAGATGGATCCATTCCATTGGTGGGGAGCTGCACCTGCTGGAAACCGGGTCCAGCGTCCCTTTACATAAACAATAGCGCACCTGCTGGAAACCGGGTCCAGCGTCCCTTTACCACATTAATACAGAACAGATGCCAGAATTGAGACTGAGAAGGTCAAAGGACTACTGAACAGGTGCTAGTAACTGAAAAGAGGAAGGGAGACAGGGAACAAATGAGCAGCTTTCTTTTGGGGACTATTTTGCCTCTTCACCCATAGTGGGCGCCAGATATGTCGTAACACTTAGCATAAATAATATTCCCCGTGTGCGTAGCCCTCGATATGAATGACAACTAAGAAAAACAGATACTGTCAAATATAACTTGTGCCGGCATGGAAGGATGTGAGGAATCTTGGTACTAGCCAGTTCTGATTGAAAAACAGGTAATTATTCCAAGACATACCATGAACCAGGGATTAAGGCCAACTTTGACGGAGGGAAAGGAGCAGGAAACTCAGAGAGAGGGTTGAGAGGTATGGAGGGGTCTATGTTACTCCAGTCATTAAAGATTAAATAATAATTCCGTGACCGATTCCCGTGCGCTGTCTCTTCCATCACATTCCATTTAACCTGCCCAATTTTACCACCTTGTACCCCTCCAAGCCAGTTTAGATTGAACATTTGGATGTGCTGTTTGATATCCTTTTCTGYTRACAAGGTTTTAAGTTTTTMTTTTAGTGTTTTCCATCTCGAGTTAATCTCTAATTGGATTTGTTGCTTAATGGACTCCGTGAACTCAGGGCCATCAAGTCGGGCTCCTTCCATTTCAAAGGTACACCGGCGAGACCATATGGCCCATAAAAGAGCTCTTCTCCCGATTAGGAATAAGTTCATTATGAAGTTATCATCGCATGATGGGACCCAGGCTTCCAAGATGAGAGTTCTCCAGTTCCAAGGCCATGGTGAGGAGGTTTCTCCAGATCCTTTCCCACCAACGCCACAACCACACAGCCCCTGGACATTGTAAAAAAATGTGCTCTATTGTTTCTGGGACTAGTTTGGACGGGAATGCAGATTTACAGAACTTGCACCAGGGAAGGGCTATTCCTCTCTGCTCTAGAGTAGTTCTGTCAATAATCCAGTCATTAGTTGGCAAGCATCGGTGTGTGATTTGCCATTGGAGGGACGCTATTTTAGCTGGCTTGGATTTGATGAAGTGGAACCATTTGACTGAACGAAGTTCCTCTTTGCTCACATTTAGGTGTTTCATCTATCGTTCTATTATTTTATCTCTTAAATTTATCCTCGGCCGCAGCATCCTATATGTGGATTTAGCTGAAAACGTATGAAGAGTCTGGCTATGGGAACGACCAAGGTATCCCTTGGACGACCAAGACCAACTGACCGGATCCAGTGGAAGATGAGAAATAGGAATATCCGGTTTGTAAGCAAGCCACTCATCATTGATCCTTAATACTCTAATCGTGAATAATCTGCTTTTTTGGATTAGTCATTTTTGTTGATGGGGAGTGGAACTAAGGAACCCGTCATCTCCTATATCATAGATTGTTATTAATACCTCCTCATTAGGGCGTAGTTCATCAATCCTTCCTACTATTCCTAATTGATCATGAATGGATATCCAGTCATCAGGGATAAGGGAGGGTTCCTTTCTCAAGATCCTAACCC